CGTCTGCTCGTTTGGGATTCATTATATTTTTGGAATTAATATTAACGTAGGACGAAGTGACAGCTTTGTGTCGTTCGTTATTTACGATCATTGATATAAATAATTGTCTCTTATGTTGTAGCAATTAAATCCAGTGAGAATTACAGTAAAATAAAAATAAAATGAGTCACACGTTTGTGAAGCACACATGATTTTTTTCTATAATTACACGAATTATTATCTTGTTGTTCGATATATTCCTACTGTAACTTTTAGTTATTTAAGTAATTAGATATTTAAGGATAAAACTTAGGTTAGTTTTCTAGTAAGAAACCACATAGCTACGACAAAATTCCAATTGGTCAATTTGGCACGTCGGGAACCTTAGTACTCGTCTACCCGACGTGCCAACTCAAGCATAGGGTACTATATTTTTAACTATCTCTATATCTTTTTATTTAAATATGATAAATAAAAATAAATGAATACAATTCAACGTTCAGTTGGGGATTGTACGCGGTTGTTTTACGAATACTCGCCTGTGTCAGCCCTATTTACCCTAACCATTAGCCAGACAGGGAGGGGGACACCTGTCGCGACAGTCGTCTACTGACGTCACGTAGTATAAAAATATAAGGTCTATTCACACATAGGATAAAAATAACCAATTTCTAGAGTAGCTACGACCGAAAGCAATGAATTTGTCTATGACAATTCCATAGTCTTAAAAACGATACGCACCATACAATTAAATTTATCACAATTAATGAAGTACAATAATTATTATATAAATATTACTACATACTGACTAAGGCCTTGTCCTAACTTGGATAGTCTCCGACCCTCTCAGTGTGGACTTAAGGAGTTGAATAAAAAGAACTGACTGTCGCCCGATACTCCGTTCGCGCGGAATTAAAATAAAAACATAATAAGTAGCCTATGCGATCTTCCAGACTATGTTCTTAATGTATAGCAAACTTCATCGAGATCCGTTCATTCGTTCTGGAGATACCTTCAAATAAACATGCATCCATCTAAACATTCGCATTTATAATATTAGTAAGAGTAAGAAGTAATATAGAAAGCTTATCTATCTTTGCTACTCTATCAATAGCGGCCATTAATCAAACAATTGCATCCTCATTAGAACGAACAAATCATATCTCTACAACACATACATTAATATAAAAACCTTATTCCTTTGTAATAAAATTCAAATCTAAACAACAATATAAATGTCGGCAACTTTATCAAGTGCTCTACACATTCTAAACATCCGTTGATGATGCGAGAGCTCTAACATCAAAGTCAAATAATGCGTATATCTGATCGAATGCAGTCTGAATGACCCCTTAGGCGCGCAAATATAGTTAAATAAATAGTGTATATGTCGACGTACAACGACAACATCCTCTCTATGGCACGGTCAGCTGTAAGAGAACTCTTTAGAGTTAAGCTTACCAGTACATCACCTGCACCTTAATGTATTTATTCCTTTAATTTTTTTTATATAAATTTAAATATTACGTTACATAATACAAACCAATAGCCTAATGGTTAAGGTTACGGATATCCGATCTCGAGGTCGGGGGTTCGAATCCCGCCATTCGACTATTGTAAACCATATCCTAGCACAAGCCTAGTTGGAATGGTAAAAGAAATATTAGTAAAATTTACAAAAAAAAACTGCTAATATTTAAAAAAAAACTGCAACTATTTTCCTAAGAAAGTCATCATGTACACCGAATCAAGAAGTATCTGAAATAAATTCAAAGATATGTGTAAAGTCAACCAACCCGTACTTGGTCAGCGTGGTTGACTATGGCCTAGTCACCCGTAACTTAGGGTAGGCTCCAAGCCCCTCAGTGGGGACGTATAGTGAGCTGATGTTGATGACACCGAATCGAAGAATAATTTAAGGAATCTACAGGACTATTCTGTATTGGTATGATACGGCGTTTAAAAAAAAGACAAAGTTTTTTATGATAGTTCTTAGTGGTAATATAGGACGCTATTATACGAATTGCAGCGAAATTAACAAAGATATGTACATTTTCGTGTGACTTAAGTAATTTAGCACCAAAACTGTTAAACGGATTTAAACATTTTATTTTAAATATAATAATAAAATGTTCATGTCAGCACAAACGTTCGTTAGGCAAGTTTTATCAAAGAGAACGCCTATTCAAGTCTTTAATCAGTCCACGAGAGTCGAATCAAAAGATTAATTTGAACTTTTTCTATTAATTTAGTTCGTCGAAATATCAGTAATGACTTTTCGGTTAAACTTTTAAACGAATCATTTATTTAAAAAACTAACTGTCGCCCGCGACTACGTCCGCGTGGATATATATTAAAAAAAACTTAATGAGTATAGCCCACCCATCCATCCATCCACATCACATGCATTTAAACATTTGCATTTATAATATTAGTAAGTTAAATAAAAAGCAAGCAGCAAGCTCTTCAAGGCATAAATTTAAAAAAATGAATAAATAGTATCCTATGTCCTATGTCCACCAATTATTAGCGATATCGATAAAGCCCTTTTTTGAGTTATAAATAGTGTAACTAACACGACTATCTTATATATATATATATATATATATATATATATATATACATTTTTTAATATTTGTAAAATATTAAAAAATGTAAAAGCTAAAATTAACAGAATACCGCGTTACTTATTCTAAATAATCAGAAATAAACTTCCAAATTTATCGCTTCAATAAAGATTTCTAATAAAAACGGCACCCGGTTAATACCGTGCAGGGTTACCCGGGTCGCCCGGATTGTCTGGATTACCCGGATGACGATAAAACGTCCCCCCTCCCGCCCCTACAATTTACGACCTCATTCACCCGGCTCCCTGCGTACAGATGTTTATCGCACATTACAATATCAAACAAACGGTGTTAGATTAAACAGTAAATAATATTGAGAACTAGCTATCGCACGCGACTCCGAATGTGGTATTAAAAAATCTTAATAAGTAGCCTATGTCTTCTATAGGACTATGTTCTTCATATATGTTTGTCAGCGACATCTATACAGTCGTTCTGGAGATATCTTCTAAGATCTGTCTTTCCATCCATTAAAATATTCGCATTTATATTACTTTTGACGTAATTAAATCCAAAAGTTTTATAACTTTTGATTAAGTCTATTATGCCTTCAAAGTATATCGCGAACTTCCTTTTAAGCTTCCGTAATTTGCCTTGACATCAAAAGTTAGAGGAATATAAAACTGAAAAAAAATGTTATCTAGGCATCCAGAATTGAAAAGGTTTTTTGGTTATTAGGTAAAATTTAAATTACTGCACTGTTTATTCCAAATAATACATTATTACAAAATGCCCACTTGAATAAAAACGCGTTTAAGTTTTTTTTTACATTTGAAAACCCTTAAATATGGAACTGGCTGTTAAGTTTAAATAATACTGCGACAGAATCCATTGTACAAACACTTTAATTTTCCTTTGTCTTGTTATAGCAGGTATAGAAAAAAAAACATTGCACATTTTTTAAATCCGAGAACACAATAGACAAAGGCTATCTACGGAGAAAGGTCTTACATGTGTAAACATATACATTTCTCTTTGTCCTGCAACTGGTCGCAATTTACATCAAAGAAACTTAAAATAGTAAATTATAACAAAATCTAGTCAAAATCTATATATTTTATTTTACTAACCAAACATATTTTTAAGTTAAAAAATTCACAATAAATATCTCGATATATGTAACAAGATAAACGAAAAAAAAAATAATTTCTATCTGAAAATCCGTACAATAAATTTCTATTTGCCGACGTAAATATAATGCTGGCAACATAAAACTCGCTTTTCCCAACGCCACTTTACTTTTATGAGCTGCAGTTAATGGTCCGCGGTGGAATGATGGCGGGAAAATATAACACCCTCTAGCATATTTACCGCCCAAACTGACAGCACTCTGTGTTGCCAGTCATATTTATTACGTAGTAACTGGCAAAGGCGAATTGGAAAATTATTGTTATTTAATAACTATTGAATGAAGTTATGCTACTGGCTGTTCCTAGTTAGAAGGCCTAAAGAGTTGCAGATATTTACCAATTTTCATGTTGTCCTAGTACGAAGGGGAATAGGAAAATAATAATTCGAAATCGGTGGTGCTATTTCGCTAGTTAAAAGTTAGTTTTCACGTTAAGAAAAGTTTAATGTTGGAAAAAGTCTTTGTAAAAAAGTTTTGCTTATTATTTAAAAAGAAGTTGCGACGGTCGCGTGCCGACAAAATGTTTTTGAACTTTCTTAAGTTCGTACTGCATATTAAATGAAAAATCGAGTAGAGAACTAAATATAACAATCATGTATTTATTTACTTACTAACAACTTACCGTTGAACAAAAAACCGTTGAACGTTAATTAAAAATCTTTTATACCTTTTAGTAAAATCACATTCCTATTTTCACTCCAGCAAGTTTTAAACACACTCGACCAATTCCGCGTGAAATCGTAAGCCAGAGTAAAGGTTTTATAGGCGGAGTTAGATCGTAAAACCTCGTATCTTATTACTTCAGCCCCATTAAAACCGTCACGGGCGCAGTAATAACTTTATCTAACAGCTTTTACTTGCCACTGTGCAATTACTACTTACCCTATCATATTAGTAGCACCCTTGCTTTAAACAATAACATTGAAAATATTGAAAACATTTTTAAAGTTTTCGAAAACCAATTAAAGAACACCAAAACAGCAATCCAAAAATCTACTTTATCGTTTAGACCAACAACAACTCACGTCCGTAAATTTGAGTAGACAGAGACCAGCGGACTCGCATTTGTCCTGACAAACCTCTCTTGCTTCTTCATACATTTACGAAAACATGCACGTCGGTTTCGGGTGCTTAAAATATCGTTCAGACCCAAGATTCTCATTATAAAATCTTACTAGAGGTGCACCCAAGAATATCCCGTTTGACCTCAAAAACAGATATAAAAATAATCTTCTAGTTATTTACAAATTATGTAAAAATTCTAGGAGCGAGCAGTCGTACAAGCGTAGCGTGTCATCAGTAAGCGCGGCGGGGGCATTAGCAGTCCCCTGGACAGCGACGGAGGCTCGCCTGGCATTGCCCACCGCGCTCGGCGTTGCCGGCATCCCCGCGCTGGTCCTCACTGACAGCAATGGCAAAGTCATCACCGCTAACGGCAGGCAACATCTCGCTGCTGATCCTTTGGGACTGGTAAAAGAAGCTTATGAAAGTATTATACGTATAAAACCAACTTACAACCACACTCACAGTCGTTGGATAGTCACTTGCGTGTCCTCTTATTGATTCCTTATACTAAATCTAACTCCGTCAACCATGGTGACGAATAAACGACGGAATACATCAGAAAACGAGGCCTCGATTATGGACCACGTTTCTGTGGTGATTAGTACGAGTTTATGATTATTTAATTAATTATCTTTATACAATTTATTAACAATATAATCGGTAAAATATTAAATAAAAACTTTTGCAGAACTTCCCATGGGGTCATCGTCCGGTGTCATTGCTGACTGAACAAGCGTTACTCAAGATGGCGCGCCATCCTGCCGTCGTTCTGTTTATTGGTATGAAGACTACTAACAACATAAACCGCTGTATTTTGTAAAAAGCAAGACAGAAAAGAATGAAAAAGTATTTAGCTTGTTTCATTCAACAAACAAAAGAAATAAACTCACACTTTCCTAATGACTTTGTTCATTGCATCGCTCATTACCTTTTAGGTTATGGAACTTTTAAATAGTAAAAATAATATTTATCATATTTTCCAGATGACGAGGATGCTGAAATAGAATTCTCTGAATCCGTACTAACACCGTCAGCGGAATCTTACTACGAGGAGTGCAGTATTCAGTACCCTGGATTTTGTCCCTACCAAAACTCTTCAGACGATGAAACTATGGATTTCGACTACACTACATCACGTTCAAGAGTTAAGAAGAAATCGTTCAAACATGTTATGTTTTATATTGGCATCGATGGTACGGATAGTGCTGATATGCTACGAGAACATATAGGCTTAGATGATGCTGTACCATTACTCACGGCAATAGATTTCCCCAAACAGAGAATGGTCACAATGAAATATGGCGACGAAATCACAACAGATTCAGTACAAAATTTCGTTGACGCTTATTTGAGCGGGAACGCAGATTTCAAACCTTTAAAGCCTTATAGTGAGAAATGTTAGTTTATGTAACTTCAAAGTAATAAATTTTATTTGGATTTTGGAGAAAAATTAATTTTCTCAAGAAATGGCGTTCCCGCCAAAATTAGATTAAACCATAGACAAAAATAAAATTTTTTTAATCACCTTCCAAATGACAGCATGTTTCCATTTATGTAAACACAATTAATAAGAAAGCAATAAGCTTAATTAATCTAGATGCGAAATTTTCGAAACGTAGAAAGTAGTTTTTAAAAAAGTATTTATGAAGTAAATTAAAATTATGAATGCGGTAAAGGTGAGGTGAGGTGGCCTTATGTGCTGCGGCATTTGAATTTTACACTAAAATTTGCATAACAGCACAGAAGACTATTCATTTCCTGCTCCAATAAATATTTAAAGACCTGCCTCAGGAATACAACATAGGTCAATTGATGTACTCTTGTTAATCTTTACTTCCTGGGTAAAATATTTTTTGTTTTGCAATTTCAATAGAATCATTATTCAATATTTACCTACCACGATTAGAAATAAGTAGTCTGCAAAAAGTATTTTATAAACATAGGAGTAGTATGTTTTGTTGTTTTCATTATCGACTAAATTAAGCTATAGTTTAACCAGCAATGTAAAGATCCTCAACTTATGGCGGAAAAGTATGGAATTATGTAATTCCTTTGTGCGCGTGCAAAGGCGATTGAAGCGCCCCTATTCCAGGGTTATTACATTCCTGGTTAGGTTATATTCTGAACATGTAATTCTGTAGCATTGTAGATTTTTTTTAATTTACATTTTACATATGATATCAGTATTAAAAATCTATTAATTATTTTTATCTGTAATGATGTTAACATAATAGTAATAGACATAGACAACGTTTATGTTTAATTTAATTTTCGATCTGTGATTCGATTGTTTTTTAAATTAAAATCTTCATATTAACTAATGTGTTTTGTATTTATGCCCTCGTTTCTCATTTAAACTACTGCGATGTATGTTAAGGATAAAAATAAAATGTCGCTTAGAGTAATTATTGCCATTGAAGTGGCGGAATGAAATTTTAACATACGGCCCGACACTGCTCACATAATTCATAATGCACAACAAATAAAGTGTATAGTAGGTATAGATATTGTATAAGGACCATACGCGAGTATATCCGATGCTACGGAATGTTCCAAACAATCACAAAATCAAAATTATTTAATAGTTCATATTGAATATTATCATATTCATACATCACAAAGATTTCCTGTCATATTAAAATCTATATTATTAAATCATTAAAAGCTGGAGGAAACATAATTAATGACGAAAATCTAATATTTTAAAAACATTTAAAAAAGCAGAACCACAACTAATTGTTGTTTAATGTATTTTTAATCTGTGTCAAAACAATGGCTTGGTTTGTTTCTTGTCTATGGCATTTTGTCTTTTGGCTTTGATCGGTAGACGCCATTAAAGTAAAGTAAATCTTGCGAAATTGAATTCACGTGCTATTACGATTTAGAAAAATTGTTTACCAATAAAAACAAACAACAAATCGTAAGCAATGGCTGACAACGACGATCTTCTCGACTACGAAGATGAAGAGCAGGCAGATCACCAAACCGCCGACGGAGCAACGGAAGCGGCGCCAAAAAAAGAGGTTAAGGGATCTTACGTATCGATTCACAGTTCTGGATTTAGAGATTTTCTCTTGAAGCCTGAAATTTTAAGAGCTATAGTAGATTGCGGCTTCGAGCATCCTTCAGAAGTCCAACATGAATGTATTCCACAAGCCGTTCTCGGAATGGATATTTTATGTCAAGCGAAGTCCGGTATGGGCAAAACTGCCGTGTTTGTCCTAGCAACCCTCCAGCAACTTGAACCGTCCGAAAATCATGTTTACGTTTTGGTCATGTGCCATACTAGAGAACTAGCTTTTCAGATTAGTAAAGAATATGAGCGTTTTTCAAAGTATATGGCGGGTGTACGTGTGTCCGTTTTCTTCGGTGGTATGCCGATACAGAAGGATGAAGAAGTATTAAAAACTGCGTGTCCTCACATCGTAGTTGGAACGCCAGGAAGAATACTGGCATTGGTAAATAGTAAGAAGTTAAACCTTAAACATTTAAAGCATTTTATTCTCGACGAGTGTGACAAAATGTTGGAATCATTAGACATGCGACGTGACGTACAGGAGATATTCAGAAACACTCCTCACGGAAAACAAGTTATGATGTTTTCGGCTACTTTGAGTAAAGAAATTCGGCCAGTTTGCAAGAAGTTTATGCAAGACCCTATGGAAGTGTATGTAGATGATGAAGCCAAATTAACTCTTCATGGACTTCAACAGCATTATGTCAAACTGAAGGAGAATGAGAAGAACAAGAAACTTTTTGAACTTCTAGATGTGTTAGAGTTTAATCAAGTAGTAATATTTGTAAAATCCGTGCAACGCTGCATAGCACTCGGTCAGTTATTAACAGATCAAAACTTCCCGGCAATTGGTATTCACCGTAACATGACCCAAGATGAGCGTCTATCCCGGTACCAGCAGTTCAAGGATTTCCAGAAGAGGATTTTAGTTGCAACTAACTTATTTGGTCGTGGTATGGATATTGAGAGAGTTAACATTGTCTTTAACTACGACATGCCAGAAGATTCAGACACTTACCTTCACCGAGTGGCCCGTGCGGGAAGATTCGGTACAAAAGGCTTAGCTATAACTATGGTATCTGATGAAAATGATGCAAAGATACTGAATGAAGTGCAAGACAGATTTGATGTTAATATAACAGAGCTGCCCGAAGAGATTGAATTGTCAACATATATTGAAGGACGATAGACATAAGAAATTGGGTTTCATTCCTTTTGTACTAACTTGAATAAGTCTAGATGATTACAGTGTTGTCTTTCATATTGTACTTGGTTTAGTAATTTGATTTATATTCTAAGAATTACAGTGTGTAAGTGTATAGGATGATTCTTTATAGAGTGATCCTGATAGGATACAAATAAAGTTAGATTAACAATAACAAAATTAAAGTGACATTTCATACTATTTTTTGTCTTATTTATAACCATTATCATAGTGTAAGGAAGAAAATCTGACACTGCTGGTGTAGCGGCGCAACAACTAACCTTATTAAAATATCAATGTTTATGTCCCGTCACTAATCAATCTAACCCTTGACTTTGTAACGAAAGCGCGCCATTCGCTTCAAATGATTCTAACTAATGTCTAAAAGTAGGTACTTGGGTTTATACACTAACCCATAGAAATCAAACAAAACAACAATCTCTATCAAATCTGGGTAGGACATTCATGTTTTCGAACAATTTTTAAACCCTGCATTATTGGTTGAACAAAGTTTAATTTTGTCTGGTAAACAACTCAATCTTCTCGGTATTTCTTTACAAGACTACATACATTGAATGTTTTAAATAGAATCTTTTGCCATCTTTCTTACTTGCTTTTAAATGTGGTATACTTTTAACTTCCGCAATAAATTGTAAAGAATTTACACTAAAAATATGGAAGTAGGTTCTAATAACAACCTCATTTAACATATCTTTATTTACTCAAATGTTACATGACCAATATGAGTTACTGTGAAATTCCACCATCTTTCGACATAATTATTGTTTTCTTTGTTTTTTTTTACCAAGAGTAAAAGGGATGACAATATGTGTCATGTTGAAATATTCAACAGTGGAAATCTATAGTAAACTGTTAAAGAAATGAACAAGTGGTTATCACAACAGTATTTATTTACCTTATAACTATAACTTATTAAAACAGATTCATTGCTTATAAATTATAAAAAAATAAACTAAAATCTACTCTAAAATTAATAAAAGGTTTTCTCATGAGTCAATCTGGTAATCATATCTAATGCCCACTTAGGCTGATCTCCAGGCACCATGTGACCTGCATTCCTCACTAAAATTTCCACCAGCTTGCCAGCCTGCTTCACATAACCAGCCAACTCACCATCCACTTTCCACTGGTACCTCTTAGCAGTCTTATAATCCTCAGATCCAGTAAATTTGAGATTCCTTAAGTAGTTAATTGTTAATGGATAAGCAACAATTATATCAAGTTGACCATTATAAATAAGGACATAGTAATGATCCAAAAGCTCAGTCATCAGCGGAGCTACAGATTTCATCAAATCTTCCTTTAAATGTGCTTCAACCTCAGGTCCTGTGTGGAATGTTAAATTCCCAACATGTATAGCTCTTCTTACAAAAGCCTTTTGTAGCATAGGACCAAAATCTTCAGAGTTCATGTAATCTTTTGTGTGCAAGTAATTAAAGTAGAATTCAAAACCAGTCATGTTATAGAATATACTCTTGCCATCAATTGTGTCTCCATTTATTAAAATGTCAAAAATCTCAGATGCCTTACTCCATTGCTTCTTTTGAATGTAATCAATGCCCTTCATTTCATATTCTCTAAAAGTATTGGCTTGATTCCAGTCTAAGAGACCAATTTGGTACAAATATTTGCTGTAAACCAGCTGATGTTCTGGATCACTGAGACCATTGCCAATTGCTAAAGCTTTAAGGTTAATTTTAATATTTGCAGTTGGGTTCTTTTTGTGTATTGTATATGCAAACGCAGGTATATATTTGCCAGCATAGGATTCACCCGTAATGAAAAATTTATTCTTCTGTAACTCAGGGAACAACTGGAAGAATTGTGTTATAGTTGAATAAAGTTGTTCACCAACCTGTGTCTCATTACTGCAGTAACCTTTGGGATCTTTTGTGAAACTAAATCCAGTACCAACTGGGTTATCAATATAAATAATATGGTGGCTTAGAGCCCAATTGTACTTGCGAGCTTCAAATTTTTCGTCTCTCACTCTCAAAGGTCCATTTTCTGTGAAAAGTGCATATAACGACGTAGCTCCGGGTCCACCTTGCAGCCAAACCAAAACTGGTGCATCTGTGTTGTTAGGTATCATCGCTGGGAAGTACCAGAAGAACTGATTAGAATCGTACTTCTTGTCAACTGTGAAGAACCCGGCATAGCTTTTTATGCGTAGACTTTCCGTAAATGGCACTCGAGCTAGTAGCCTGCCAGCCGTTATGTTTCCGCTCTCGATGTATGGTGTAAGAAATAAAGGTGATCCTGGGTCTCCATTTATTTGATTATTAAGATTTAACTTTGGATACCGGTGTAAAAAACAATAAGCCGAAATTATAAATTGAAATAAAATATATATAGAATATCGAGACATGATACACGTGAATTAACAATGAATTACGGAAAAGAAATGAACAGTTATATAGGCTAGGTAACGATTATCTATAAAGGTGCAAAAGGTTATCGCTTTAAATACCGTCAACAATAAAGTTGATTATAATAATAATGTGCTCTACATTAACATATGTGCAAAGAATATGAAGTGTTAAATATTTTGCATTTGATTTTATAAAGTTTATAATCGTGATAGATTCACACACTCTGCACCGGAATATAAGCAAAATAAAACATTATTTTCTTCAGCTACCCAACTCATGTCACTATTTCATATGCCCTTTGGTCACTACTTCTGTTCTGTCAATCTGGCACTCGAAATCACCAGATTGCAACAAAGCGCTGTGCATTTTATATGTGAATATCGATTAAAAATTAAGATATTAACACAAATCATTTAATTAAAACGGACACAGCTGTAAAACAATTAATAGATTAGTTTCGTATGCATAAAATTTAAATATTTGGCGCCATTGGCTATTCAAGTTTGGCGCCAATTGCCAAATGTTTAATATTTTGAAATCTCTGCTTTATGGGAGCATAACTTTACTTTGAATTCAATGTAAACTGCGATATAATATAAATTTGACTTTTGAAAATTACGAAACACAGACTACACAATAGAATTTTTGTATCTATTAAAATCGTCTAACGCCAATGCCATTTTTGACAACATGACAACAACTGTAACTTGTTGTAAACTGTTATATTTTCAACAATAAAGAATGCAAAATGAAATCTATTAAATGCGGAATTAAATAAAATTAATGAATATCTTGGACTATATTAACAAACAATGATAACTAAACTTAATCTATTAATATTTACAACTTTAATTTCTTTGAGGACATGTACCATTTTTCCTTACGTCTATCCCCGATTGAAGTTAGAGGCGAAGACACCAGACGTTGCAGGCGACGCACTATTTCTGACACCTCATTTAGAAGACGGAAATATCTCACTAGCTCAAAACTTATCGAGAGTACCATTCACCGAAAAATTAGGATTCAAAAGTTACTCCGGCTTTTTTACTGTCAACAAAACGTTCAGATCGAATCTGTATTTTTGGTATTTCCCGCCATTTTCAAAGACCGAAGAGAGTCCTGTCGTTTTATGGCTGCAAGGAGGTCCGGGAGCGAGTTCTTTATTCGGTCTTTTTACTGAAATAGGTCCGCTAGTTGCTAAATCAGGCGGATTCGGTTTGCGAAGATATCACTGGGCCTTACATTATCATTTACTATTCATAGACAATCCGGTTGGAACTGGCTTCAGTTTTACAGAACAAAAGACAGGTTATTGCAAAAACGAAGAGTGTATAGCTGAAAATCTTTTCAAAGCTTTGCAACAGTTTTTTGTGTTGTTTCCCAATTTGAAGAGCAATGAACTATACATCGCTGGCGAATCTTATGCGGGAAAATATACAGTGTCTTTAGCTATGTACATACATCGAAAAAATAGTGAGACAAACGACGTACAAGTAAATTTGCAAGGTTTAGCTCTCGGCAACGCTTACTGTGATCCAGTGAATCAGATGGATTATGGCAACTATTTATATCAGCACGGTTTATTAGATAATGATCAACGTAAAGTTTTCTTGCATGTACAAAATAAAATTGCCGAGAAGATAAAACAGAAAAATTGGGCTCAAGCCGATTTATTAATGGACAAACTAATGGATGGTGGTTTAACGAATACGTCATTTTTTAAAATGTATACAGGTTTTAATTATTTTTATAACTTCATGAAGACTGAAGATGATGAAGAAATAAGTATTTTCAGTAAATTAATACACAACGATAAAGTTCGACGTATGATTCATGTCGGCGGTCGTCCGTTCAACTCTGGTGAGGAAGTTCAAATGTATTTGGCATACGATTTGTTAAAATCCGTAGCACCAACGATAGAACAGCTCTTATTGAATTATAGAATAATGTTTTACAACGGACAATTGGATATTATCGTTGCATATCCTTTGACAGTAAGTTTTTTGAGAAAATTAAAATATCCATCGGCGTTTGAATATAAACATGGTTCCCGTTTAATATGGTTTGTTGATGAGGAAATAGCGGGTTATGTGAAAAAAGCAGGCAATTTAGTGGAGGTTTTGGTGAGGAATGCTGGTCATATGGTACCTCATGACCAACCAAAATGGGCTCTCAATATGATCATGAGATTTATACAGGGAACTTTTTAATTTTGTTATATATAATAAATGCTATATTATCATTATTCGAATATGTTATTTTAATAATTAAATTATTTTACTATTTATGTAATTTAACCGTTAATAATGAGTTATAAAAAAATTACGAAATTTAAATCAAGATGGATTCAAATTTAGTCAAATTAAAAACTAATGTTGACTTATTTAAAAAAAAACGATATCACTTTGTTGGCACAACTTACTTGTCTATTTAATAAATAAATTATAAAATAAATAAAAAAAAACAAACTAAAAACTAATTACAATTAAATTTAATATCTTTATTGTCAAGGTCATGATTTATTTATTTTAAATTTTATTATTTCCAGTTTCAATTTTTCGCTTAACATAATTTATTTTATATCCAAAGCATTAAAATTAATTTTATGCTAAATATCAACATATTTACCATTACTTCAGCAATATTTTTCTATTTACTTATGAATTACATAATATTTTTTCTAGAAACATGCAATTTTCAAGTTTTATGAACATTTCAAGAAATAAATTGAACGTAATTGATTTGTTTGGATATTATTTAAATCAATTATTTCTGAACATGACTATAAAGTGTGATTATTAAAAAAAAACATACTAACTATTGAGGGAATTTCATGTTATTATAATATCAATGTTTTTAAACTTTGAGCACTTATATTATTCTAATTAAATAAATATTATCTTCACTGGTTTACTGATGAAATTCGAATTCAATTATTAATTTTCAGTCATTATTAAAATGTATTATTTATAAAAAATACATTTATTAAACTGGTATCAACTACACTTATTAATAATTAAAATAGTTTTATTAATAGTAAAAATTATTAGCCGTCTTCTCCCGCATCCATTGTGTTTTGCTGCTTGTTTAAAGATTTGAATACTATTAATAAGAGGATTATTAAATCTGTGGTCATAGATCAGACAATAAATAAATTTTTACTCTGTATGACTTATTAATATAGTTATAATCATCAAAAAATGCTATTTCATTTTGTCACATTTTCATCGAAAAATAAAAATTAACACATTTCCTTAATTTTAATTTTTTCTTCAATTAACGAGTGTTACTCGTTACTAATATTATAAATGCTAATGTTTAGACCAGTCTTTCCCAATGTGGGCGATAACGCCCCCTTGTGGGCGCTGCAGGTCTCAAGTTGCGGGTTATAGTTAAAGTTTCGTTTAGAATTCTCCATTAATATACATATATGGGTCACAATAATTAATTAATTTAATTTGAAGTTATAGCGGTTTTTTAAATATGTGAAAATAAGGGGGCGCTAAAAAATATTTAATCTCAAAGTAAGCAGTAGACAAAATAAGTTTGGGAACCACTGGTTTAGATGAATGGATGTTTGTAGCTATCTCAGGAACGGCTCAATGGATCTGGATGAAATTTGGCACAGATGTAGAACATAGTCTGCAAAAACACATAGGCTAATCAAGTTTTTTTTTTTTTTAATATATAATAGTGCCTTCAATATTTCTTAATAATTTAATTGCTTGTTCTGTTAAGTAATAAATTGCATTTATCATATTCTGACATATGACCACAGATATAGTATTATTCAGGCCAGTAGAGCTGTGAGTGCGTCTAAGAACTGCGCTCGTTGTGAGGTAGGCAGAGTTATGACTGATGTATCAACATTGTCCAAGGAAACTGTGACACCGCTTTTCGTTGCCGCTTGCTCGAACGCCGCACCGAATAAACTGGAAATATATATAAATAAACATTTCAATATAAAGTTTACGTAAAAAAAATATCGTGACGTCATAGTATCCTAATAGAAAAATAAAGTAAGTAAAACAAGTTTTTTAATATTTTTTTTCTAGTATTTTAAAATCATAAAAAAAAATTACTATTAAAAAAAAACTCTTAGCACTAGAAGCGAAGTTATTAAGTAAAACACATAGAAATATACGGGAGAATTGATAACTTTCCAACTTTTTGAAGTCGTCTAAATATACCTACTTTCTTGGTTCCTGTTCGAATCTTGGCGGCAGTCCTAGCAGTATAGAGGTGTGCGGGTCGGTCGCGGCGCTCGCCAACAGCGGCCGTGCTGCGCCACCAGCCGCCCAGCGCGCCGCCTCGCCCAGCCACAGCGGCCCGCGCACCACGCTCGCCTCCGGTGTGCCCTGGATACACCACATTCATACAGTTACTAAATTATTTAGTGATATTTGGTAACTAAACTCGTTGGAGTTACATTTAGTAACTAATCTACTTAGAGTAACATTTACTAATTAAGCTCATTGGAGTCACATTTATTAAGGTAAACTAATTGGAGTTGCATTTAGTAATTAAACTGATTAGAGTAACGTTAAATACTTAAAATCTTTGGAGTAACGTTTAGTAACTCGAACCGTTGGAGTAACATTTAGTAACTAAACTCATTGGAGTAACATTTAGTAACTAAACTCGTTGGAGTAAAATTTAGTAACTAAACTCAAGTTGTAAAATAGCCTTAGTAACTATACAAGATTGTTCGATTTAGCAATTACTTAAATAGGAATTAATTAAAAATACTAATAAAAAGAAAAAATCTTACATCCTGCACAATAAAATAACTAAACGGTCCAGCCAACAGCAGTTTTCTAGCGGAGAGTGTCGCATGGACCAAACTAGCGACTGCCTGTAGACATCTTCTCGCGGCTGCAGACCCTTTGCGCCATGCCTCGTTCTCACCTGACACCTCCAGCGCGGCTAATGCCAGCTGGAATCCCTCCGCTTTGGGCAACGTCTCCTGGAACATTTTATATAACTCGTTTATTTATTTATTCTTTAGTTACATTTTTTAATTTAAAATCAACCGAATTTAGTCCTATACTGCTCGGAAAGATGAATCAATTGATACCTCACTAGTCAAAATCAATTCAAAAGGTTTCTCTCGACCCTTACTAAGGAACTTACATACATACAAACGTACATAAAAACAGACTTACATATGCAGAAAACATCATCCTCTTATCAGAAGAGGCTAAATGGCAAGTATGAAAACTACTAAAGACCATATAAATAAAATTAAAAAGAGAACTTAACATATCTCATTCCAAATAAATGATAAAAATCTTGTAAATATAATAAAAATGCTACTTTCCTTTCCTCTATTCATATTTTAACTTTGGAATAAGTACTAAATTGTAAAAATGAGTAATAATGACAATAAAAATTAATGTAAAATTCTTAAAACATTGTAAAACTTGTAAAAATATTGTAAAACTTGTAAACATTTTGTAAAACTTGTAAAACTCACGTGTTCAATGAGAGCCATGATAACATAGACCGCGTCTAACGCAGCTAAGGGTGACATATGTGGTCGTTGCAGTATGAAGGTTGCTTTAGTTGGTACGGGCAGTTTGTGTTTAGGAGCTGCAGTTTCCAATGCTGTAAGGAGGGACCTTCGGAGTTCTACATCCATTGAACGGTATGCCTGACGAGCTTGTTGGAGAGGAAACCTAAAAAAATAAAAAGAATTAAATAAAAGTTTATAAGACAAAAAATAGTCAACAATTTGTTTAAAAAAAAAAGATAACACCTTTTTATCCTTACAGTAGAAAAGTTCATCGAAAAATCAAGTAATAAATTATCTTAGCAATATTATAAATGCAAAAGTTTGAATATATGATTGTTTGTTAGAAGGTATCTCCTTAACGGCTGAATGGTTCTTGATGAAATTTGGCATAGATGTAGAACAAAGTCTGGAAAAACACATAGACTACTAATTTTTTTTTAAAATTCCGCAAGACGGAGTAATAGGCGACAGCTAGCTTAGTAATACAAATATCCCTTTTGCACACAAATCGGATTTATCAATGACTACTATTGTTATTGCTACAGTAGTAGTTGCATTTTTAACAAACTTTTTTTTCTCTGCAGAAATGTCCTGACAAATATTTAAGTGGATTACTTCTTACCCCATATCAGCTAACAACTGTCGTAGTCTTGATGAACCGGAGCGAGCGTACAATTTGAGTTTGGGTGCCAACATGGCGGCGTGGCTCAGTGCTGCCTCTAGCGTCCATTCCCGGTACAACGGCAACCACGCATCTTTCTCCATAACAACGCATGCTGTCTGGAATATTTATACAATGTTACTGCCGCACTCAGAATCATTATGCGTGCCCTAAGTGTAACATTTCTAGACAAAATCCACACAGTATCTTCCATAGTCACCGAGTTTGTATTTTACTAATATTATAAATGTGAATGTTAGGATGAATGGATGGATGTTTGATGAACGTATCACAGTAACGGCTGTATGGATCTCGCTGAAATTTGGCATTGATGTAGAACACATTCTGGAAGAGCACATAGGCTACTAATTTTGCTTGTTATCAATTCCTTGGGACGGAGTCGCGGGCGACCGCTAGTTTTTTTATATAAATCACATATAAGACAACAACATGTTTTAATTATAGTTTCCTAGTGGGACTAAACTCGTGCAGAAACACAAGTCATCATCATCAGCTCACTATACGTCCCCACCGAGGGGCTCGGAGCCTACCCTAAGTTACGGGTGATTAGGCCTTAGTCAACTACGCAGGCCAAGTGCTGGTTGGTTGACTTCACACATATCTTTGAATTTCTTCTCACATATGTGCAAACTGCATCACGATGTTTTTCTTCACGGTAAGAACGTCGGATAAATGTACATATGTAAATTGGAAATCGAAAAACACATTGGTACATGGCGGGAGTTGAACCCAAGACCTGCAGATTGCAAGTCAATTGCTTGACCCCTGAGCCACCGATGCTCTGGAAACACAAGTATCAAAACATATTGCATAGTTCTTGGCTATAATGTCCTTAACTATGTTTAGCAAGTAATTTAGGATATGTTTTTATACAAATTGTAAAAAAATCATACTGTGTATGTATGTCCAACTTACTCTATTAGCAGTTGAATCATCATGCCGTCTAGCTGCAGCAACATAGCGATGCAGTGCTTCAGCATCTAACAGACACCTTGCTGGGGACCTAACATAAAGCGCTGCATGCGCTTCAGCAGCAACAGCGGCCGCCCAGAGTGCTGCTTGTGATAAACGAGATGCCAGCGCTGATAATTCAATCAGAACACATGCACTCTGGAAGGAGGTTTTCATTAAATTAATAGAGAAAGCTGATAATAAATCTATGTTTAAGTCGCGAAGTTATTAAGACAAACAGGTGATAAATCGCGAAATTGAGGCTTATGAGACTATCATAGGAGCCAATGAAACTGAAAATTGACTATAACAAAAAATTAACCAAAACCACTAGATGTGATGCATTGTAAGATAAGGTTTATCCCCATTATCTTAAGGTTAGTCCCATTCAAAGCAAATGGATAAAACTTTAATTAAGCAAAAGTGATTTAAGATATACTTACTGGTTTCCCATAGTAAGAGAATTGTGTGTAATTAAACATAAGAGTGTGTCTCCGTTCCTCCCATTCTTTGCGTGCCCTTCTGCGCTCCACCAATGCTTCTAACCCTTCTCTACCACTTCCTGATTCTTCATTCTGAAAAGATAGAAATTTCATAATTAAATATAAATATAATTTAAATGATAATTTAATAAATTACAGGTCATATTCTATTGTTTTCGTTGTTTTTTTTTTACAAATTTAAAATTTGTTGCACTAAACTTTATATTGTATTAAAGCAAAAAGTATACTCTGATTAATTAAATTAAAAAAAAAGGATAGCCCAATAAATGCAGTAATAGTTTTAGCTAAAAATTCCTCAAAGATGTCTTTTTCTTTCCAAAATTGTGAAAAATACATATTATGGCATATACAAATTCCTTTGTTCATATCATTTTTGATTGTTACTTTTTTCTTATATTAATATATCCAAATATGCAGTAAATAGAGGGTAGTAAAATTTTACAGATATATTAAAAAGACTCACTTCATCATCTTCTTCATCTCTGAATATGTCATCGAAATTAGGAATGTTTTCCTCATCATCCTTGTACACTAGTCTCACCTAAAAATTATATTAATAGGAACTTAGTCTACCGTACCAAACATATGAATACTATGACCAAAATACAAAGGAACTTTATATTCCTGTCTTGTGATTGCTTTTCTTTGACTTAATTTACTTACTTTCAATATAACTTTTACTTTGCTCTACCTTCCTTATTACTATAAAAGTTTTATTTGATAAAAACATTATAAAAGGTAATGATTATTTTGGATTTTAAATGATAAAACATGATTAAATTATAGCAACACTACTTAAACATTTACAAGAAGTTTACAATAACTGTAAAAGATTACTTAATATCTTATAGTAAAGCATTTCATTGTAAACATAAACACATAAGTAAACAATAATAAGGCATTTCAGAAGTATATAATGAAATAGTAGCAAAGGCAGTTATTATTTCATAAATCCTTTGGACTATCTATATGTAAAAAGCTTACCTGGCCATCACTGTAAACATTACAAATGTCTGTTGGTTTGTGAGAGTCTAACACAAAAAATACAACTTCCTCATCAGGTTGTAAGATGTCCACTAAATCAATCGTACCACCACAGTTAATAAGTACCACATATTTAATCTCTTCATTGTTTTCTTCATACGCTGTCTTTAGTTCCGATATACCCCCCACGGGCACTAATGTATACGATATATTATCACATTTAAAAAGACCTTGCAGTATTTTACAGGCACATATCGCATCAACGTCGTAGTGAACTAGTAAAAGCACTCTCTATAACAAAAATACACTTTATCAATAATAAACTCCACAATGCACGTTTTAGTTTACATTCTTTGACACTTACGTTACCCAGCAGAATGTTATAAAAATCATTTCTTATGTCCTCAATGAACATTTTTAAATACTAGAGAGTTATAACTTAAAAGATCATCTTCCTGATGTTTTTAAATTAAATAAAAAGTACTTAACACCCGCAGATTTCTATGGGGGTATATTTTGATATTGACAAAACAAGTTTATCTGTCAAACTGTCAACTACAAAGTTATGAAGAACAGTTTCGCGCCAAAATTAACGTCCATGTTTAAAGCTACTGAAAAAGACTTGTAAATTTTACACATTTGGTAGATTTATGGCAGTTACATTTGTGACAGATCATTAATTTTATTTAGGGCACCTTAAATTTGTATTTCAAAAATAAAATATAGCAACTTATTTATCATGTTATATAGTTTAAAAACTAAATTGTTCTAACTTAAAAAATCAAATTATTTTTAAATTATGCTATTATTAAAAATATAAACAATTTTTTGATACTTAGTATACGTTTTTTGTTGTATCATTATTGCGTTACGTATAATATTACGTAGTCAAAAAATTGACAAGTTATTGAGTAATTGCTTAAAAAAAATTATTAAAATTTGAGCATTAAATTAATATTTAAATCCATTAAAGCATTTAAATGGAGCAATTATTTACGTATTTTATTAATCAAGAAAATGTTTAGCAAATAATTTAAAATTGGATCTGGAAATAACCAGAGAAATAATTGAAAATTAAACATAATTAAAAAATACATATTATTTACGTTGTTCAAAAAATGTCTAATTTCATTAATTAAATTACATAAAACTAATATATGTACTGAATTTTGCATTTTTCATGCTAATCGCGTGCAAACAATTCCTGGACATAATCATGTTCAAGCTATTATTTAAAATTAAAAATAATTAAAATAGAAAAAACATGGCAGTGACACGTAGTTAGACTTAAATGGCGATTGCATTGATTTCTTTTTCTTCAACACTGTAAAGAGGTCTATAAAAATATGAAACCTCCTTGGATGAGATGCTGCGTGTTTGCGTGCATTAAATTCATGATATGAATGTGTTCGGGATGATCCACTGTTACAAAACAAGAAAACTTCTCGTCACAGCAAAGTTTTTTCGCATTCACACCGGATAATTTTATGCAAGCCAAAATTTCTTTCTTCTTTGAACCTTCTTTGCTACTACAACTATTTTTTATATTATAACGTAAACTTAAAAATGTAGGAAAAGATAAATGACTAAATAATTATAGGTTATTACAACTTAAAATTGATTTAAGCCACATTTTGGACAGTGAATCATTATCTAATACCCAATATAGTTTATTTTAGTTTGGTATTGCTATCATTATAATTTAGATTATTGTCCCAATATAGTTATTATATAGCAACACCAAACTAAAATAAACTATATTGGGATAATAATTTAAATTATTTCTTTTATTAACATTTTCAAATACTTACGTTTTCCCTTTCCAAAGCATTTCCAGCACTCCTGCGCATTCATCAATCCGGAGCCAAAGAAGAAGTTATTGTGTGCACTTTCAATATGCAAGTTGTCCATCGCCGTGGTAAGTTTCACCGTGTCTACTGGACTTTCGATAGGCGTTACTGCATTCCAGCGATTGCTAAACCATAAAAATAATAAAATCTTACTGCCGTAGGAAAAGTTACTTACTGGTGATTTAAATATTTGCTTAGTGGAGATTTTCCATAATGAATTTTCATTAACTAAATTAATTTGATAAGTAAAATCTGCTCAGAGTTCGAGAAAGTGCAAGCAAAAATATTTACATTACAGTTTCATGTCAAAATGTAGGAAAATACCTCCAAAAGTTTTTATTAATCCTGGTCTTCATGATGTATGTAATGTTCCACCAGACGATCTCCGCTGCCATGGTGACGAGCACGAGTGGCGGGGCGTCGTCGTCAGTGGGCGGGGCGGGTGAGTGCGGGGCGGGGCTGGGCGCGTGGGGGGCGCCGCGCGTCAGCCGCTCCGGCACCGGGGAGAACCGGCACCACTGCACCTTCGTCTTGTGGTGCTTTAGGAACCGTAGCTGACGCTGATTGCTCACGTGCCAAATCTGCAATATAATCAACATAAGTTGTCACTCGCGAATTCTATTGAAAAAGACTTAATTTATAGCCTATACGTTCTTCCACAGTATGTTTTAAATTTTGTAACTCTACACCTCTCAAGTCAGTTCTAATCGGTGATTCCGAAGTGACTAAGACATCACGTTTAATGTTAGATTCCCAAGTAAGATGTTGCCGATCGCGAGTTCGATAGTAAATAACGCCTTTTCGATTCAAGACATCCGTGCCGATTATAATCGGTGTATTCATAAACTCTGGACGAACAACGTGCAAATCTACGTTTAAAGTGATCTTGCTAAATTCTATTGATAGAGTTATAAAATAAGTGGACTTTATTTCTTGACCGCCAATGCCTCGCAATACTTTAAAGGCAGGCTTGCAGGCGTATTTAAAGTGTTTTAACAAGTGGGAAGAAATTAGTGATATACTTGAACCGGAATCGATAAGAACGTCAACTGGAATCCCTTGTACAATGGCTACGACAATATCGTTACGCCTCTTATTTAGGTTTTCCCGGCAAAAGTGAACAATATTTGTAGTTCGCGATTCTGACTTTATCTTTGCAAAACAAGTTTCAACTTTATGACCAAGCTTTTTACAGAAACTACTCGGTTCAGATTTTGCTGTATTTTGAAGAGAATGACTTTTCCGATCGCTATTAGTATTAGTGTCGTTACTTGGTTACGTTGCTATCTTAGGTCTTTTAAAACAATTTGACTGTTTACGCCCTTGCATAGTATAAAACATTTACCGGACTTGAACCGCCGTTTGCGATCGTATACCCCATGTCTATTGTTAAACGAACGATCATGACGCAACCCACTTGAGTTTTTGTTAGAATGAGGGGCATTAGACTTGACATAAATAGAGAGGAACTGTACTAACTCATTTGGCATTAATATGGCGTTGGTAGCAGATGCGCGGATCTGCGGATCTGTGATGCCCCGTATAACTATTGCCGATATCAGCTCATCGCTTAACCCCCTAATGATTCGTAATCGTAAAAGGGACCTACGAGCATAATCAGCGTATGTAAGGAAGCTATCCGAATTGGTGCTCATAACCTCGTACAGAATGTTGGCTATGTCTGGTTTTTTTGACATAAAGGCTTAAATTCGTTTTTTAAAATTACTCCAACTGCGGTCATTCGTTACCCATTCACAGAGCCACGTTTTAGCATCTCCTTGTAAACAATTGCCAATGCGAGAAAGACATTCGTGATCACTCAAATTATTAGAAGACCTAGCACGGTCTACTTCTTCACACCATGTCTCTATGTCATTAACACTCGGATCAAAATTAGAAATATAATAAGACTGGTTAGATCTCACCGGTATATTTATGGATCGTATCGCATCGATGATGCGATCGGCGGCGCTGGCCTGGACTGACGTAGCGCTCGCGGGACGCTCCGGTGAGGACGGAGTCGTTGAAGCCTGAAGCGCGCCCTTGAAGCGAGCTCGCAATCACAGCTTCGCCCAACTGCGACGGCGGCGGCATCGACACAGCAGGCTCAACGGCAGGAACGGGCTCGGCGCTGATGGTTGCCACAGGCACCGCGGACTTCCACGGACCTGCTCGGTTGTCCGGGTGGGCGGAGAGGTGAACTGCGACGTGGCGCGTCCCCCGGTGGTGGATAGGGGAACGCCCTGGCATTCGTGTCGGGGTAGGGCGCAAGCCCCGCGAACCAAACACCAGGGTCTGGCGGTGCGCGCAGGACTAGTCGACGAGGTGTCGATAGGTCTAGCGCGCTAGCCGGACCCGGGGCCTGGTGGTGCGCGCAGGACTAGTCGATGGTGTTCCGATAGGTCTAGCGCGCTAGCCGGGCCCCCAACCGGTGGAGGCGCCGGAGGTGGACGATTGTCTGCCTCCGTGCTGCCTATGGTGGTGGGGCCGCGGGGGATGCGGGAAGGGTACTGGTTTATCCTGCCCTTCTTGCATCCCTCGTGGCCAGAGGGACGGAGGGGCCGCGAGGGATGTGGGAAGGGTACTGGTTTATCCTGCCCTACTTGCATCCCTCGTGGTCGGTGTTGAGGTGTGGGGCCGCGAGGGATGTGGGAAGGGTACTGGTTTATCCTGCCCTCCTGCATCCCCCGTGGCCGTGGACGTGTGGAGGCCGCGAGGGCTGTGGGAGGTTACTGGTTTATCCTGCCCACCCGCAGCTCTCGTGGTCTGACGTGAGGGTCCGATTGCGGACGGTCGCCGGCTGGGTCGCGGAGGAGTGCTCACGCGTACCCGTAACCCGGCCATATGGCGATGAGGAGGGCTAGAGGGGTTTTAGTGGGTATGGCCGAACGACTGTAGGCGAGCCCCACACTCCCTGCGCCATTGCACACTGGCCCGGCGCAGGGGTGCGGAAGTGCATTTCCCCTCGTTAAACAAAGTGCAAATTTGTCCTTTTAAACAAGGGTAGTTACAATTTCCAAAAATATATTTCTGATCGTATGACTAGCCAATTAAAGAAATAACAATGGAAACACATCGTATCAGGATGTACAAACAAGGACGTGGGAGTTTCACTATCCCACTTCTGATCTTAAGGATTAGAAGCAGTGAAAATTAAAAAAAACAACCTCTTATACACTACTTTATCCTCTTATCTACTCTTTTATATTTAAGGGTCTAAGGGTCTTTACCCCCCAAGTCCCTGACATAGCATAAGTTAGGGGAACGAGAGGGTGGCATAGCCACCCAATAAAAAAGAAAAAACCCCTCTGTTCCTCCAACGCATCGGGACGGGAACACGGGTACGCTTTCGCTGTCGTCCGCGGCCCTGTCTGCGCCAGCTGCCGAGGCAGCTCCCTCATGGGGTGAGGCCGCCCTCAATGGCGGGCAATGGATTCCCCCGCATCTATTACCCGAGGGCTAGTGTGGGCGCCCCACTCTCCTACGTCTGAGCGTGGGCGCCAGAGGG